TGCTTGCTGCGTGGTTTGTTGTGTTGCTTGAATTGCGTAGTTTTCTGTGTACCTTGTTGCGTAGTTTTCTGTGTTGCGTGGTTTTCTGTGTTGTTTGGTGCGTGGTTTTCTGTGTTGCTTGTTGTGCTGCTTGATGCATGGCTTGCTACGTTGCTCGCTACGCTTCTTGCTGGGTTGCTGCATCGCTTGCTGCGTGGGTTGCTGTGTATTTTTCTATGTTGCTTCCTGCGTGGTTTGCTGTGTTGTTTGCTGCGTGGATTCCTGTGTTGTTTGGTGCGTGGTTGGTTGTGTTGCCTGTTGCGTGGTTTCCTGTGTTGTTTGCGCATTGTTGGTTTTGGTGTTTGTTGCGTGGTTTTACTGTGTTGTTTGGTGCGGTTGGTTGTGTTCCCTTGTTGCGTGGTTTACTGTGTTCCTTGGTGCGTGGTTTTCTGTGTTGTTTGTTGCGTGGTTTTCTGTAGTTGCTTTGTGAAGCGTGGTTTTCTGTGTTGTTTGGCGAATGGTTTTCTGTGTTGCTTGGTGCGTGGTTTTAGTGTTGCTTGGTGCGTAGTTTTTTCTGTGTTCCCTTGTTGCGTGGTTTTCTGTGTTGTTTGGCGAATGGTTTGCTGTGTTGCTTGTTGCGTGGTTGGTTGTGTGTTGCTTGTTGCGTGGTTTAATTTGGTTGCTTGGTGCGTGGTTTGTTGTGTTGCTTGGTGCGTAGTTTTCTGTGTAACCTTGTTGCGTGTTTTTCTGTGTTGTTTGGTGAATGGTTTGCTGTGTTGCTTGCTGCGTGGTTTTAGTGTTGCTCGCTACGTGGTTTCCTTTGTTGTTGGCTGCGTGGTTTTGCTGTGTTGTTTGCTTTGTGGTTTGCTGTGTTGTTTGTTTCGTGGTTTGCTGTGTTGTTTGCTTCCATGGCTTGGTGTGTTGCTTCCTGTGTTGTTTGCTGCGTGGCTTCCTGTGCTGCTTGTTCAGTGGCTTGCTGTGTTGTTTGCTGTGTTGTTTCCTGTTTTGTTTGCTGCGTGGCTTGCAGTGTTGCTTGCTGCGTGACTTGCAGTGTTGTTTTGCGTGGTTTTACTGTGTTGCTTGTTGCGTTTTTCTGTGTTGTTTGGTGCGTGGTTTGTTCTGTTGTTTTTGTGCTGCTTGATGCATGGCTTGCTACGTTGCTCGCCTACGCTTCTTGCTGGGTTGCTGCATCGTTTTGCTGCGTGCTGTGCATTTGTCTATGTTGCTTCCTGCGTATTTTCATTGTGTTGTTTGGCTGCGTGGTTTTCTGTGTTGTTTGGTGCGTGGTTGGTTGTGTTGCTTTGTTGCGTAGTTTCTGTGTTACTTATTGCGTTGGTTCCGTGTGTTGCTTGTTGCGTGGTTTAGCTGTGTTGTTTGGTGCGTGGTTGGTTGTGTTGCTTGGTGCGTGGTTTTCTGTGTGTTCCTTGGTGCGTGGTTTTTCTGTGTTGTTTGTTGCGTGGTTTTCTGTGTTGCTTGTAGCGTGGTTTTCTGTGTTGTTTGGTGAATGGTTTTTCTGTGTTGCTTGGTGCGTGGTTTTAGTGTTCCTCGCTACGTGGTTTCCTTTGTTGTTGGCTGCGTGGTTTTCTGTGTTGCTTGCTTTGTGGTTTCCTTTGTTGTTTGCAGCGTGGTTTCCCGTGTTGCATGCTGCGTGGTTTGCTGTGTTGCATGCTGCGTGGTTTGCTGTGTTGCTCGCTACGTGGTTTTCTGTGTTGCTCGCGTTACGTGGTTTGCTGTGTTGCTCGCTACTTGGTTTGCTGTGTTGCTTGTTGGGTGGTTTACTGTGTTGCATGCTGCGTTGTTTGCTGTGTTGTTTGCTGCGCGGTTTTCTGTGTTATTTTTGGTGAATTGTTTGCTGTGTTGCTTGCTGCGTGGTTTACTGTGTTACTTGCTGCGTGGTTTGCTGTGTTGCTTGCTTCATGGCTTGGTGTGTTGCTTCCTGTGTTGTTTGCTGCGTGGCTTCCTGTGCTGCTTGCTCAGTGGCTTGCTGTGTTGTTTGCTGTGTGGTTTCCTCTTTTGCTTGCTGCGTGGCTTGCAGTGTTGCTTGTTGCGTGGTTTTCTGTGTTGTTTGGTGAATGGTTTTCTGTGTTGCTTGCTGCGTGGTTTGTTGTGTTGCTTGGTGCGTAGTTTTCTGTGTACCTTGTTGCGTAGTTTTCTGTGTTGCGTGGTTTTCTGTGTTGTTTGGTGCGTGGTTTTCTGTGTTGCTTGTTGTGCTGCTTGATGCATGGCTTGCTACGTTGCTCGCTACGCTTCTTGCTGGGTTGCTGCATCGCTTGCTGCGTGGGTTGCTGTGTATTTTTCTATGTTGCTTCCTGCGTGGTTTGCTGTGTTGTTTGCTGCGTGGATTCCTGTGTTGTTTGGTGCGTGGTTGGTTGTGTTGCCTGTTGCGTGGTTTCCTGTGTTGTTTGGTGCATTGTTGGTTTGGTGCTTGTTGCGTGGTTTACTGTGTTGTTTGGTGCGTGGTTGGTTGTGTTCCTTGTTGCGTGGTTTACTGTGTTCCTTGGTGCGTGGTTTTCTGTGTTGCTTGTTGCGTGGTTTTCTGTGTTGCTTGTAGCGTGGTTTTCTGTGTTGTTTGGTGAATGGTTTTCTGTGTTGCTTGGTGCGTGGTTTTTAGTGTTGCTTGGTGCGTAGTTTTCTGTGTTCCTTGTTGCGTGGTTTTCTGTGTTGTTTGGTGAATGGTTTGCTGTGTTGCTTGTTGCGTGGTTGGTTGTGTTGCTTGTTGCGTGGTTTACTTGGGTTGCTTGGTGCGTGGTTTGTTGTGTTGCTTGGTGCGTAGTTTTCTGTGTACCTTGTTGCGTGGTTTTCTGTGTTGTTTGGTGAATGGTTTGCTGTGTTGCTTGCTGCGTGGTTTTTAGTGTTGCTCGCTACGTGGTTTCCTTTGTTGTTGGCTGCGTGGTTTGCTGTGTTGCTTGCTTTGTGGTTTGCTGTGTTGCTTGTTTCGTGGTTTGCTGTGTTGCTTGCTTCATGGCTTGGTGTGTTGCTTCCTGTGTTGTTTGCTGCGTGGCTTCCTGTGCTGCTTGCTCAGTGGCTTGCTGTGTTGTTTGCTGTGTTGTTTCCTGTTTTGCTTGCTGCGTGGCTTGCAGTGTTGCTTGCTGCGTGACTTGCAGTGTTGTTTGCTGCGTGGTTTACTGTGTTGCTTGTTGCGTGTTTTTCTGTGTTGTTTAGTGCGTGGTTTGTTGTGTTGCTTGTGCTGCTTGATGCATGGCTTGCTACGTTGCTCGCTACGCTTCTTCCTGGGTTGCTGCATGGTTTGCTGCGAGGGTTGCTGTGTATTTGTCTATGTTGCTTCCTGCGTGGTTGGTTGTGTTGCTTGTTGTGGGGTTGTCTGTGTTGTTTAGTGCGTGGTTGGTTGTGTTGCTTGTTGCGTGGTTTTCTGTGTTGTTTGGTTGCATGGTTGGTTGTGTTGCTTGTTGCGGGGTTGTCTGTGTTGTTTAGTGCGTGGTTGGTTGTGTTGCTTCCTGCGTGGTTTTCTGTGTTGTTTGGTGCGTGGTTTTCTGTGTTGTTTGGTGAATGGTTTTCTGTGTTGCTTGCTGCGTGGTTTTCTGTGTTGTTTAGTGCGTGGTTGGTTGTGTTGCTTAGTGCGTGGTTGGTTGTGTTGCTTCCTGCGTGGTTTTCTGTGTTGTTTAGTGCGTGGTTGGTTGTGTTGCTTGTTGCGTGGTTTACTGGGTTGCTTGGTGCGTGGTTTTCTGTGTTGTTGGCTGCGTGGTTTTCTGTGTTGTTTGGTGAATGGTTTTCTGTGTTGCTTCCTGCGTGGTTTTCTGTGTTGCTTGGTGCGTGGTTGGCTGTGTTGTTTTGCGTGAAGTTGGTTTTTGTTTGTTTGAATGGTTTGCGTGGTTTTCTGTGTTATTTTTGGTGAATGGTTTACTGTGTTGCTTGCTGCGTGGTTTCCTGTGTTGCATGCTGCGTGGTTTCCTGTGTTGCTTGCTGCGTGGTTTCCTGTGTTGCTTGGTTTCCTGTGTTGCTTGGTGCGTAGTTTGCTGTGTTGTTTGGTGCGTTGTTTTCTGTGTTGCTTGGTGCGTAGTTTGCTGTGTTGTTTGGTGCGTTGTTTTCTGTGTTGCTTGGTGCGTAGTTTGCTGTGTTGCTTGGTGAATGGTTTCCTGTTTTCCTTGTTGAGTGGTTTTCTGTGTTATTTTGGGTGAATGGTTTGCTATGTTGCTTGCTTTGTGGTTTACTGTGTTGCTTGTTGCGTGGTTAACTGTGTTGCTTGCTGCTTATTTTGCTGTGTTGTTTGGTGAATGGTTTACTGTGTTGCTTGCTGCGTGGTTTACTGTGTTGTTTGGTGAATGGTTTACTGTGTTGCTTGCTGCGTAGTTTGCTGTGTTGTTTTTGGTGAATGGTTTGCTGTGTTGCTTTCTGCGTAGTTTGCTGTGTTGTTTGGTGAATGGTTTACTGTGTTGCTTGCTGCGTGGTTTACTGTGTTGCATGCTGCGTGGTTTTGCTGTGTTGTTTGCTGCGTGGTTTACTGTGTTATTTTTCGTGAATTGTTTCCTGTGTTGCTTGGGTTTGCTGTGTTGCTCGTTGCGTGGTTTCCTGTGTTGTCTGCTGAATGGCTTCCTGTGTTGCTTGCTGCGTGGTTTGCTGTGTTGCTCACTGGGTTGCTCGCTGCGTGGCCTGCTGTGTTGCTTGCTGCGTGGTTTGCTGTGTTTCTTTCTGCGTGGCCTGCTGTGTGGCCTACTGTGGTTCTTGCTGCGTTACTTACTGTGCTGCTTGCTGTGTGGCCTGCTGTGTTGCTTGCTGTTGTTACACGTCTATTACTTGCATCTCCCTGGACTCTCCTCCACTAAAATAGTGAGTTGCCTTTTACATAAACTAGATGTAAATGTCTTCGTTAATGTCATGTAAGTTTATAATCAATGACGCCCAAGGATGACAACGTAAAGTGATACTCATGATGTATTTCAGTAAGCTGACAGACAATCGCAACCTCCCCCAGAGTGTCCTGTTCATGACAGCTGGGATGGGTCAGAGTTAAAAGTACCTGTTTCAGTGCTAAGTCAGACAACAGGTTCTGCTTATGCCTACAGATTCAGCCGATCTGCATCCAGTATCAGGGCTGATTACTCAGCGTAATTGTTACTGGTACCACTACAGAAATTCCACAGACCTTTTTGACCCGGACAGGAACGGACACATCACACATACAGGTGGACACAATTTTGTTGATGCATTTTCTCAGGAAGATATTTCTTAAACCGGCAATATATGTCGAAATACATTTAAAGTCAAATTTCTTTCTCATTTGCTCATACGTTCATTACCAAAATATTTCATTGTTTGTCAGTCTGGCGATTCGGGGGCAGTAGGGAAGCCAAGTGGTTAAAGCGTTCGCTCGTCACTCACTCACTCACTAACTCACTCGGGATTCTGACTTTCAGAGTATGGATGCCAAGGCAGTCTTCGCATGCTTCCTCCTGGGCGTGATCTCAGCGGCAGCTTCAGGTGAATATTTATTGTTGTTATCTTAAATTCAGTAACTTGGGTCAACAGTTGCTTAAGGACTGATTTCAATTCAAACCTTTCTAATCGATCACAACACGGCTAGGATTCCGTTGACAAATGTAAATGCTGATACATGTTTTATATCAATCAATAGATCCTTCAAAATGGTTATTCCAGACTAAACAAAACAATCCTATCTTATTTTAATTGAAGTTCATTTCGCTTTTGGATATTTTCGTATTCACGGCACTCAACGAGTTGCAATGAGTATTAATTACTTCAACAATGTATCCGTGTTACGTGTTGAAGGGCATTGTCCTATTTCAATGGCTGGAATTCTCCCCATATTATATAATGTAAATTGTGAATGCAGATAAATTGATCATATGAAACTGTAAAAGTGAATGACAAGTTTGTCGTAAATTCTTCCTTAAAATAACCCTTGGTACCATCACATACAGCATGGGCACTATCTCCATGTTAGTGTAACGTGCCGTGCGGGCATAGTGCATGTAAACATACATCGTTACTATTTATTGGACCAGAGTATATATTATAAGTTGTTCACTGGTCACGAGGGGAACATAAACAAACATCGAGGGTACATCAACCCATGGGCCCCGAGGGACCAGTGAACAACGCATTTATCTTACCGAACACCTTAATGTTAATTTTGAATTGTTTGACATGGGGTACATTGAAATGTTACTCGCTTGTAAGGGGGTACATTGAAAATAATAGAAGAGCGCTCAGCCAATCAGAAAGCAACATTTATGTGTGAGGTAAGATAAAGTTGGTTGGTTGTTTAACGCGCACTCAGTGATACGGCGGCGGTCTGTAAATAATCCAGACTGGGCCAGACAATCCAGTGATCAACATCATCAACATCGATTGCACGCACGCACGCACGCACATACACACACGCGCGTGTGTGCGTTCTTGCGTGTATGTGTTTGTATGGAGTATTGGGGCGTAAAACAACCAGCATTCACACTCTGTAGTTCCTTTCTAATGGAAGTTGCTCTTACGTGTAGCTGTATTCCTTTAATGTGTTGTAGGTCAGTAAAGTTTATCGTTTTTTTAAATGTTCTTTATCTCTTATTATTTTTCCTCAGGCGCTTCGAATAATCGGCCTTTCCCCTCATGAGCGAAACTCTTGTTTCACATTTTCTATGCGGAAGACTCTAGTTTTGAGCCTTTTATACATATCTGATAATTGTAATTCTAACATTTTAAAGTGTTACGGTTTGATATTTCTAATCAACCGACACACGTCTGTATCACATTTCGTCCTTAATCAGACAACGATTAACTTTGCCTCTGTGTGTATCGAATGTACATTGTCTTCAAATACATATCTGGCGTTATCCTTTTCATATCAGACCTAACAATAGAGACCAATGTGGTGGAGTTGGTAGAATTTCACGGAACGATAAAGACCCCGAACTACCCTGAAAACTACCACGACGACTACGAAGGGATCTGGGAGTTGAACATCCCTCAGATAGGCGGCAAATATACCTTTGTCCTGAATATTGAGGCGATGGACATAGAGGGATCTCCTGGACATTGCGCTGATTACATCAAAATAGACCATAAGGAATATTGTGGACAGTCACCTATGACAATCAGGGGTAAGTGTTTAACCAGGACGTCAAGGTCACTTTAGACGCATGCCATACCCGTCGGTGACAGCCAGTTTCATTGCGAACATGAGTGAGTGAGTGAGTTTAGTTTTACGCCCCCATCAGCAATATTCCAGTTATATGGCGGCTGTCTGTAAATAATCGAGTCTGGACCAGACAACCCAGTGGTCCACAGCATGAGAAATTGGGATACGATGACCTGTGTCCCAAGTCAGCCAGCCTGACCACCCGATCCCGTTAGACGAAGTATGGGTTACAGACTGATCAATTCTAACCCGGATCTTCGCGGGTCCCAAGTCGCATGACGGCTCGTGTGTCGCTTACAGCCCTTCAATCAACTTAGTTTCGTAAAGTTGCAGACGAACTTGGTGATAATAGAGAAATAGAAAACAAAAATGGCCTAGTGGTTTTTGTAAATCTTGTGCATCAGGTACCTGATACCTCTGCCATTCGGAATTAAAACTAATTTTCTCTGCCAGAACTTTCAAGTGTACGTAAGTTTTCTTAGTCTTATAAACATCTCAGTTCTTCGCTGAATAACAATAACGTATATTGTTGAACTTAACTTAAACCTTCACAATGAATAAGAAGAAATGAATAGTTGTCGTTTTGTGAGTATTGATCACAAAAATTTGTTGCTGTTCCATAAGTGGGATTTACACTGTTTACTGTTTTCACTGTTTGTGAAACTTTTCCAATTCACCTCACCGTCACTTCTTAGCCTAACTTAGACGGCCTTGTGTGTGTTGAATTCCATACATGAAAGCACCGTTTGGATGTTCGAGATGATTGAAGATCAGAAGCATCGATCTTGTCACACAGTCTTGTAGAGAATATAAACCCATCCATCTTATCACACAGTCTTGTGGAGAGTACAAACGCATCCCTCTTTCCACAAAGTCTTGTGGAGAGTATACATTATAAGTTGTTCACTGGTCACGAGGGGTGCATGGGTTGATGTACCCTCGATGTGTGTTTATGTTCCCATGGGCCCTGAGGGACCAGTGAACAAGGTATTTATCTTACCGAACACCTTAATGTTAATTTTGAATTGTTTGAAGCACGGATACAAATCTTTTTTGTAGCCATCGCTAGATTTTGCTGACAAGAAAAACAGATTTAGAGTTATCTCCCTTCCATCGATTTGCATTCCCAAAACATCGGTAATTTCCGTACATCATACATGATTCAATGTTATTCGAGATAAAGAATTACTACCACGAAGTACCCAATGAGTTGCCATTGCCCGCGGGGTACATTGAAATGTTACTCGCTTGTAAGCGGGGTACATTGAAAATAATAGAAGAGCGCTCAGCCAATCAGAAAGCGGCATTTATGTGTGAGGTAAGATAAAGACCTATATGTGAAACAGATGAGGCTGTTCTACTTTTCCCTTATATTTCTTGTTCAGATAAGTAGATCAGCTGCAGTGACTTGGCCACTTGGTCGTTTTTCAAAGTTATCAGAGATCTTAGGCATCATAATACATCATCGCTATTCCTAACATTCATTTCTCCATTGGTCAATATTGGTTGACTTTGTATTTGATCCAGTCGAAAGTATACTAGAGGAGTTCTTCCAAATACAAGTTCTCCAACTCAGTATTAGAGGAGACTCGTTCTTTAAAATACAGGTTTAATGGATGTATAGTGGAGAGGCAGCGATCAAAGATAATTATTAAAGACAAAGTTGAAGATTTTTTGCATGGGATTTGAATATTTCAGTTCCAGACATCGAGTACGGGGTTGTGATTGACTTCCACACGGACATCAGCATCACAGGAAAGGGCTTCACAGCAACTTACGACTTTGAACCGCAATATTAGGGTAAGATAAATCCAGGAAACTATATCATCTTTCAACAGGTAACTGTTCTGGAGAGCCAAATATGGTCATCATAAAGCTAATATTTAAGAATCAACTCTGTTTGCTTTTTCTCCCTTTCAATGTTTAGTCCTGTTTGTTAGCATTCAAGTTGTACCTTCCACTTATCCTTCACTGTATGTATTCCTCTCAGCCCTAACTGTATACTGTATACCCTGGTTATAATGCCACCATTTGTCAAGGAGAAAACGTGGCATTATATCCAGGATGGCATTATAACCAGGTAGGACAGTCAGAGGCCCTATGCAATCAACAACGTGATTGAGCTGATGTTTCTTGTAATGATCCTTGAATGACTGGATATTCCCAGCATCTAAAGGCTGCAGGTGACGTTTTGTTGTAGGTGGCAGGAAGTGTATTGTCATCTTATCTGGGATTACAAGACTACTTAAAGCATTAATGAGTTTGGTCAATTAATTTGAGTCATGTCAATTAACCAATTAAGGTATTATAATACATGCAGCCAGTGTAATTGACATTATAACCTGGGGAAAATGACTTGTTCCAAACACCTTTGGCAAATGGCATTAAAATCAGTTTGGCATTATAACCAGGGTTTTATATCGGCAGGAAATCCGTTCTAGCAAAAACATGGCATTATATCAAGGATGGCACTAAAACCAGGGACATTTTAACCGGGGTGCACTATACATTCTTCTCAACCCTTTCAGCACTCTCTCACACCCGAATCCTGTCCCTCACACAATCTCGACAAGCACATGTGTTTTGGGTGGGATCAAATCTACATTGTTTGCTACTCTTATGTTTCAGGCAGCATGTCAGCACTACATGGACTGAGGTGGATCACTATCCGTGACATCGAAATTAAAATCGTTTGAGTGTACCATTATCGGATTTATTCTTTATCGGTTGAAATAAAAACTGCAGTTAGAGTGAGTGAGCTATTTTCAAAGAGGTGACGTGGAGTTTAACGTTATATAGTGACTTGTGCTGTGTGTTCGTGCATGCGTTGGGGCGGTGGGTAGCCTAGTGGTTAAAACGTTCGTTCGTTACGCTTAAGACCCGGGTTCGATTCCCCACATGGGTACAAAGTGTGAAGCCCATTTCTGGTTTCTCCCACCGTGATATTGCTGGAGTATTTCTAAAAGCGGCGTAAAACTAAACTTACTCGTGCTTGCGAAGTGTCTGCTTTTACTAATGTTAACGCTCATTCTATAGCGCTAACACACTGAGTTGTCATGCCACTGTTTGACATGAAAACAAACTCAGACAAAACGGCGTTGGTGGCCTGAGGCACTGCATTTCGCAGATAATGCACATTTGCGTGGATTCCAGAGCCGGTTCGCCCCATTCGTGTTTCTAAGTTTGTCTGCACTATACACTCATGGCTTTCATGGAATTGTTAAATGTCCAAGACCCTCACTTACAGCTTCCTTCCACATCAAGGGAACAATATTGAAGCAAAATATTGAAACCCTACTCACTCAGTCACTATATCCCTTAATCACACTACCGCTTAGATACAGACTCCAAGCCGACAAGTCCTTGGTCTTTCGCTCTTCATTCAGATGTGCTTCTAAATGAGAAGATCTAAATCAAACAATCGCCAAGTACATGTTATCAAGAGAAGAAGTGATCACCATTCCTTTGTGTTGTTTGTATCTAAATCTCTGGATGTCGGAGCTAACCGACCTGATGAAATGTTCGAAAAGCTTTCTTGACACATTTAAAGTTTGTCTGCATTTGGTATTTTTACTAGTCCAAAAGTTAAAGGTCACATGCAACCAAAAATCAAACATAATTAAAACACAATTATCACTTATTCATGACATATAATATACATTGCTGGTTATGAAAAAACATATAAACAAAATTATAAGCGTACAATCGCAAATCAAAAGTGCAATATTGTGTACTTCGGTTTACTTCCCAAGAAACGAAGCAGCCGGGATACCGAACCCAGTCAGAGCGGGTGGGTGTGCACTCAAGTGTAACGGCTGGTTCAGTTGCAGATGCCTTCACGGCTAATTGTGTGTATATATATAGAGAGAGATGTTGGGTTTTGAAAATACATGCTCATTTTTTGTGTATAACATTTTGCAATCAACAGACATCATAACATGTCATGTGTTCAAGTATCACACCTGCCTGTCTGTGTAATTACATAATGTGACAGAGACCGAACTCGGGCCATAAATCAATGCGTTTTGTTTATTGTGTATAGCCTGATTGGTGTTAAGTTCAAATCGCTTGTGGTCAGTGATAGCAGCTGTGTATTGAATATTGTCATTAGCAGACAGACAGGCAGACACACAGGTGTCAATAAAACAAGACATTGAATTTTGTCTGTGACAACGACATATCTATATCACAGTTAGAAATTCTGTCAACGCTAAATAGTGACATTGCTTTTAAGTATCGAACTGAGAAAGTTTCTCGGTAAGAAGAACGTGTGGTGAAATAGACAAATGAAATTATATAAACAGTTAATTTACTGTCATAACATATAAAAAAGCTCGTGCCTGTGAGATATCAACAAAACATTAGAAAAATAGCTCACACCAAAGCCTTCACCGAATATTCACCCGACAACCGCTTCCAAGCTGCGCGAACCTATTTACTTGCGCACGTGCTATGAGCGCAGCCCAGCTGTTGAAACCCGTTTTCCCCAGAAAAGTCTGGGGAAATTTAGTGAAACGTTTGAACTCCGATTTCGCGCGTTTTTTTTCATCGCGTTATTTTTCAACTTTATAAGTTGAATTTGCATTTTTTGACGATTTGTTTCGGTATGTCCATACCGAAAGGTATCAGAATCTGCAAAGTTGTGTTTTACGTTGCATGTGACCTTTAAGAAAAGTTACTTTATGGCCATATCAGATAACTTTCATACCGATTTTAATGTGTCTTAATTTCGTGAAGAATGCAGACCTACAAGAGTCAGTTTGGAGTTGGTACATGACGCATTTTACATTGGAGCCATACGATGTGAAACGATTAAAATGTGTTTACAATGCTGCAGATGCTGCTTATTATGGTTGTGTCATGTGCGAAGCTAACTAAATATACACCCGAGTTAAAGCATTCCCGGAAGTTTTTACAAAGTTGTATCGGTGGTGTGCACTTTCAGTACGATGGTAAAGCTGCATGTTTCTCTGTAAGGTCATGTCTTGACTACAAGAAAACACAAGAAAATAACTGTTACAGTTTTCTTCAACGTTTAAATTATAATATAGATTTGGCAGAATACACAAACTATCTTTTTTGGCTCAAAATGATACATTACAAGTGTGGAACTAGACAGAGGATCAGGCAACATGGCGTGTATGTGATGAGACTCAAACGTTTATTTGTAACCTGGGAACCAGAGACTAAGCGTTTGTCTAGGTGTTTTGTAGCAAGAGGACGATTTTCATCATTGGGGACAACAACTGGACCAAGCACTCACAGGCCCTCGTGTCTTTGCGAAGATTAAAGATTTAAAAAACAAACAAATTGAGATGACTCCCGACTCGAAATGCTACACAGTACAATCATAATACTGTGAAGCATTTCGAGTCGGGGGTCATCTCAAATGTTTCATGTGTTTTTAACATCTTTAATCCTCGCAAAGAGACGAGGGCCTGGCAAGCACTTCCTGGATACACTAATCACCCCTCAAATCCCCACGTATTCTCGCCAAATCATGTTTACAGCCATGAAAGACACATTCCCACACCATGACGGAACATCCAACAAAGGCAATAGTTGGTTGAATGTTTTTTGCTGCGAGTGCTACATTTCGGGAAATACTTGCTTCGCTTAACGTAGATTTTGGTCTTAAAAGGGATCAGGTTCCTGATTTATACTTTGTATTGTGATTCAACCACCTAGCACATGTGTATTGTTGACAAACCCAAGGAGCATAATTGTAGCTGAGAGATACAACGCTTTAAAGAAACTCCTGCTCCTTGGGCCAATGGTCCATGAGCAAGTATCACCTTTTAAAGTTCTTTGTTTGATATAATCAATTGCCTTCGTTACTTATTAAGATCGTAAGTACGTTTTGCGACCTTAAAGTAAGGAACGCAGCTTCCGCGTCCAAGTCTGGTATAACATACATATAATTATATTGCACGTGACTGTTCAAACGGACGATCCTGATAATTGAATTGAAGAAAAAAAATAGAATAACGTTCATGAGAATAAATCAATTTCTGAATAGTATCTCGGTTTTTAAATTATTTCACATTGTATTTCTATCTACATAATAAAATCGTAGTTTCTTGTTGTTCACAAAGTCAGAGTTTTTCAATTGGCAAATCCCTGGGAAATCGTTACTAATGTTAGGCATTTTGAAAGCCGTTCCAACCAATTTATTTGCCTAGTCAGATGGGCGAGATCTTGTTTAATCACAGACAAGTATGGTTCGCTGGACTGGACTTCACATTATTCTAAATTTGCAATATGGTTGCTCGAAGATAAACAAAGTTCAGAGACATTCTTGTGCATTCGTCGCAAGTGTCATAGTATGCATTCATCTCAAGCAATATTTCATCTGATACACGAATATTGTATATAGTATGCATGTTGTGTTATGTACGTCTATCAAGGGTACATTCATTAATAATATGGTCTTTGGCACTGTTTGGCATTTGAATGGAATGGGTGAATCAGTTATAACACTGTTGATGGCTTTATGACATAGGAACATATACGTCCCTCCTCTTCATCCCTCACTTTGGTGTTGAATAAAACTGATAATACATGACGCACCCAAATACACTGTTCTGTTACACCATCCGTCGTCAGTTGAGGCAAATCAAACTTATTGAATACAGAAACATATACCGATGATCTCTGCTGAATTCATACGATCACAGAAATTGTAGATTCATTTTTTTACAGTTAACTAGAGCAACATTAATTGCATTATTTTGTGTTTATATGTTTGTAGTTATATCACATATTTACTCAGACAATACAATTGCAAACGTAGCACTTTAGTGATCACAGGTGACTGCAATTTAGCATCCAGTATTTTGGAGAAGTGGGGATACAGGGTACATATAAACCATTACGTCCAAAGGTTAGGAGAAAATGCTCCTCAGGGAAAATAAAAAAAAAAAAAAAAAATTATTTTTTTTTGTGTGGGGGGGACGACTGAAAGCATTAACCACTGGGATACCCCACCACCACAAATGAAAAGAATGGAGCATAGGATAAGCTGAAAACCCTACAAAGCTATTCATAGTCATGGGAAATAGGATTGGAAAGTGAGTCAACAACAAAAGCATGATATCATAGTGCTGAGATTTCCTCAGGTTCCGGCTGAATCTCCGTTCTCCCTTGGGCTCAATTTATATGGGCTTGTTTGTTACTATCAAAGTTATATATATCAGAGACTAAGCGTTTGTTTAGGTGTTGTGTAGCAAGAGGACGATTTTCATAATGGGGGACAACAACTGGACCAAGCACTCACAGGCCCTCGTGTCTTTGCGAAGATTAAAGATTCAAACATTTTATTTTTTTAGATGACTCCCGACTCGAAATGCTACACAATACAATCATAATGTATTGTGCTGTGAAGCATTTCGAGTCGGGGGTCATCTCAAATGATTTATGTGTATTTACATCTTTTATCCTCGCAAAGACACGAGGGCCTGTGCAAGCACTTCCTGGATACACTAATCACCCCTCAAATCCCCACGTATTCTCGCCAAGTCACGTTTACAGCCATGAAAGACACATCCTCACACCATGACGGAACATCCAACAAAGGCAGTAGTTGGTTGAATGTTTTTTGCTGCGAGTGCTACATTTCGGGAAATACTTGCTTCGCTTAACGTAGATTTTGGTCTTAAAAGGGATCAGGTTCCTGATTTATACTTTGTATTGTGATTCAACCACCTAGCACATGTGTATTGTTGACAAACCCAAGGAGCATAATTGTAGC